ATGTGTTTGTTTGTTTTTGTTGTTTGCCAAGACTCTCCCGGCGTACAGTTTGCATGCAACCCCCCTCCCGTATCCCGCAGTTGTTATTCAGGGCTCCCCATAAAGAAAGCACCCCCCGCAATGTGAGGGTTCGTTTGCTGCAAAAATCCACATCCATGGTGAAGACTTACCCCCCCCAAACAAAAAGAAGAAAATAGCAACACAAAAAAACACAAATGCGATCAAGGAGTTCCTCCCGCTGCCTGGCGTTGCAACTTTGAACCTGGATCTTGGCCCAATACATGAAGATCCGTTTTACCACCAGCTTGGCGTCCGCCAATTCATCAAATGTGTGTCGGATAAAACCTCCAACTAACGTAAAGGACATGTCCGCTCCTTGAACAAGTGGTCTCTGGTTTTGAAGGTTGCACGTTGTAACAAATGAACAAAGCTGCCAGCATGACTGTTAGTCAGTGTAAATCGCAAAGGGGTCAGCTCCCAAAGGGAGAACTGATCGCAGTTCTCTGCAAAAACAACCCCAGCGGGTAGGGAGTGCCCTTCACCTGTTGGAATCTTGCCCGCGGAAGCACTCGTAGCCTCCATTTGGTCAAGTCCCCTGGGAAAATGAACGCGCTTCCAGTGATAGACTTCCTATACAACCTACAGGGGAAAAAAGCAACAACAACAACTTCAGCAAATGGAAGGAACTTCTCACTTTCTGAGCTGTCCAAACAAAGAATCTCAACTTTTCGTTTGCCACTAACATGGTCTTCCCAAACCCAAAGAAGTGACTAATTAGAGTCCGAGTCCCGACACTAAACCCAACCAAAGCCACCTTTTCACCTGCCCAGGCAATGCTTTGCAGTCTTCCACAGGGAGTGAATGCCCAGATTTCCGGTCACCTGGTCACCCTCCCTGAAAGGCGATGAAGGGCCCCAAGGCCCGCCCCCTTTTTCCCAGGTAAAATATGACGGTCAACGGGTCAGACGGGATCGGGCCGAAGCACTGGGGCGATCAGGTTGGCGGCGTTCACGATGAAGCGGGCCGCTTCTCGCTGTCTTCTCTTGATATCCTGGCCAAATTCGGAATTGACGCCGAAGTCGAATTTCCTCCTCCCATTTGCTGCAGCTTTTCTGGAAAAATGTAATCATACATTCCCTGTAGCGTGATAGATTCCCAAAGCAGGAAAACAAACAACAACTGATGTCCAGCATATCTCACTTCCGAGTAGATTGGCCCAACCAACAGACCATTCCCAAAATGGATGTGTGATTCCTGGGACTCACTTCCTGAGTAGGTTGGCCCAAGCAAAGTCCAAACCTTTTGTTTGTCACTACAGTGCAATCTACCATGGTCTTCACAGACATGCTTTAAGTCCAGGAACTCAGGACGTCAGGCAACTCTCAAAATTGAAAGGAACCGAGAGAGGAGATTCAACATTTGTGAGCTCACTCAATGCCCCAAAGCTCCCGCTCCCTGCATCAGGTCAGCTTGCCCACAGCTGTCCAGGACTCGTTGGGACAGTCTCAGCCTAATCCGCCGACCCCTGCGGCTGGCCTACTCACACCGAGGGGACCGGCGTGGTTTACAACGATTGAACAATTCGCCATAGGGGCTGGCCACAGGCGTTAGCCTGGGAATACTTTCCTTGACAGAAATCGTCCCATCACCTGGTGTCTCCAAATGAGAACCCCCCCCCAAAAAAAGTTCAAATTTCCCCACCCCTTGCCTTGCCTTCCCGACGGACGCGGTTGAATGTGTGTCTGTTGTGTGTTTCCTTTTCTTTTTTTACATAGTTCTCACTGCAATCTGCACGATGAGGGGAGCCCCTTTGGGTGGCTTTGCCAGCGTCTAATGGCCCCCATGCCCGAACTCCCCGCCCTCCTGCCCTTCGTTAATGAGTCCTACTTGAACTTTACATCGGTTGGCAAAGAGTCCGTACCTGTCCAAACTAACCCCTGCTAAAAGTGACTAACTGTTAAGTGGTGTTGTGGAAACTACCACTGAACCAACTAAAAACAACTAAAAACCCCAAGTTGAACCGGGTGGCCGGGAGCCACCAAGATACCTGAAAACCGGGCATGGCTTTGCCTTCGGGTCAGACAACTGGTGGCCGGTTTTCCTAATCCCAAAAGTGATCTATTTTGAGACTTGGTTTCCTGCGGGTTTCCTGCGGGCTCCCTAAACCATCAAACCATCCTTTTGACTACGCTGTCCTCAGATCCCCCGCTAAAACTGACTAACTTTCAGTGGGCGAAATTCGGAAAACCAGCCGCTCAACACCAAACAGATCTAAAAAGCTAAGTTGAACCGGATGGTTGGTTGAGCCACCTTCCCATCTCTACTCTTGGTATGGTAGCAAAAAACTTTGTCTTTTGCAGACCCCCAGTAAAAATGAACAGAACCAAACAACTAAAAAACTAAGAAACATGCCAAGAACAGTGAAGCTTCCTTTAGAGAGCTGGCTTCCTTTGGGGTTGGGACATGGGACATGTGTGACATCCGTCTGACGCGATCCTCGCGGAGGGCGTCGTCGCCCTCTGTGAGGTTGCGAGTGGCGCTCTCCTGCCAGTTCTCACTAGGGGCTGGGGGAGGGGAGGGGAGGGGAGGGGAGGGGGAGGGGCAGGGAGCCCAACTGGGCCCTGATTAAGCCCAAGTAAGGCCCTGATTAAGCCCAAGTAAGGCCCTGTTTCAGCCTCCCCCCCCCAACCCCATGAAAAAGCAACCAAACTTGCCATTTACAACTAAATGGTCCAAACCCAAAAAATGTTCAACCTCCAGGACCCCGGAAGTGAGGACCCCACCGGAGAATAATTACCTTCCAATTGGACCAGTTTGGAGCCCGACGGTTTGGAGCCCAACGGTCCACATGTTGCCCCAAAAAGAAAAACACAGCTCGTCCATAGAAAACACCCAGCACCCAGACTGGCCCACAGCACCAAGTCATAAAAAATACGAGGCACCTGAGAGACAAAATGCGTTCCCCTGCAAGAAAAAATACAGCCACCTTCCAAGCCCCCCTGGAAAAATTAAACACAAAAACTCTTGTCCAGTCCGTGAAATCGAGATCCCCTTTTTAAAACCAACAGGGGACGACAAAAGCAATATTATTCGCAACATGGACGCCGCCTCGTCTGCTGGTGACCCATAAGGTGATAACATGCATGAGAAGGGAAATATAGGGATGGGGATATCCATCAATCGTTGGGAGGGTTTCCTCAAAGTTCATAGCCACATGAAAGCTTTTCAACAGGAAGAAAACTGGAACCTGGGGGTTGAACGTCCCTCAATGAACAAATGGTTGCACAGACCACTGGTGACTACGTTTCTTTGAAAACCTAGCCTGTGCGCTTCCAGAATTGGTGGGATAAGTGACCCCCTCTTAATCAGTATTCAATAGAAATGCTGACAGCAACCAACAAAAAGTTACTTGGATGACCCGGTTGGGGAAGGTGCTACACTTTTAGAAAGGCCCTTGATGGTCATAAAGGAAGCGGGCAAGCTGCCAATCCCGATTCTACTGGCATCAACTTTCGGCCAGCTCAAGAGTTGTCGAAGAAGTTCTCGGTGGAGCCACTAAAAGCCGCAGCCGGTTGCTTGTCAGGAGGGTGCCAACAACAACGTCCTTTGCAGGGTGAAGGTAGATGTGAGTGCAATCAATGAGCAAACCATGGATGGCAATTGCCCCTACTTTCACCCAATGGCCGCCAATAAAGCACAAGCAACCGATTTGTAGCCAATTAAAAACTAATCAATTGCGTCCGGGTGGATGTTGTCTTTTCTATTTCTGGTTGGGAGCTTGATTTATATTCCGCTACCTAGGTTTTGTGTTTGCTCATTCACCCAAAGAGCCTCCAACAAGTTGGTCTGTCTTTGGTACGTAATCTAAAACATGCTACTCAAACGGTCTTCCCAACACCAAAGCAGTTCAGGATAAGAATCTCCGACGCCATCCCCCGGCGCGCGCGGTGTCGCTCGCTCAAATCGCTGGCATCTCATTGGGCGTCCTGTTTCTGTTGCTCTGTCTGACCCAGCTCGATCTCCTGACAGAGCAGAAAAGCAGACATGTGTCTAGGCTGTCCGTTTCTGATCCCCTGCTAAAAGTGACTAACTTTTAGTGGGCGAGATACGGAAAACCCCACTAAACACTAAAAGGCAAAAAAGCTAACGGAATGGCTGGGAGCGACCAAGGTGTGTGTGTGTGTGTGCCTCCAAGCCGAATTGAACCTACCAAAATTTGGGGGCGAATGGACAAGCGCCTGTTAAAGAAGTAGCCATCCAATGAATCTTCCATTTGCTTAAGCACCCGGGAAAAAATAAACATATTTCCAGTAGTGCTAGATTCCCTTTAAGACTCTAACAGGGGGAAAAACATATTCTTAAGCAAATGGAAAGAATCCAGCATAGACCCCAGATAGCATTGGAGATTTGACCCTCTGCCACATTCTCCCAGGCTCCCGCACGTACCCCTCCCGCAAGTTCCCGTGTGGTTTGCCACTTCGGGTACACGTACCTCCTGGCGGCAGAACCGCGCACACCGCGCCCGCACCAGGTTTCGCTATACGTCCATAGCACCTCTTGGATTTCATGCCGTGTACTGGCACGCGCGCAAGCCGCAACTCGGACCAGCCCTGTGACCAGCACCCTGAAACGCAACGCCAGTCACCACAAGCACCCTGACCAGCCCCCACCTGGCCCGACTTCGCTGAACAAACCCCACCTCTTTAGAAGTAAGAACCCGTATAGCTTCTTCCCATCTGGGCAACAAACCACCAGTCAGCTTGAGCAAGTGAGCATCATCGCCCCTACCTTAAGGGGCAGGGGGGTGGGGGGTCCCACCATTCCATTTATTCAGTCTTCCAACCACAAAAGGGAAAATGGGTTACCCAAAATGGAGATCTCCAGGGGTCGAAATCACCCCTCCCCCAATTCCATTTTGAAGGTGGCAAAAGCGGGGAACGGCTGAGTTTCTGGCCTCCTCCTCGTCGAAATCCTCAAGTCCCACCTGCTCGATGTTCAGCCTAGGAGTCCATAGCCTTCGATCCAATCCCCCAGACAAAAGGTTCCCAGAGCGGTCTGGGACCAAACATGGCGGGAGTAGGACACCACCACAACAAGTGTATATGTAATACCAGGCGCAAACATATATATATATATATATATTATATATATATATAAAAGGCATCATGCGCAAGCTGATGGGCAACTCTAGGTCATAAACAAAACCGGGAGTCCACGTCCAATCATTGGGAGGGAGGGTATTCTCCGCCATTTTCTTGGTTCCCCTTCCTTCCACACGGCTAAGGGGATCAATCCGCGCTACATGCTGATCGAAACCAAATCTTCTGGGTCGCCTAAAAAACAAGAACACCCTGAACACTATTTACCCGAAGCCCCGAAAACGATCTGGATCATTTTCCGTCAGGAAAGTCCGCAGTGGGTTTTTGCCCGCAGTGGGTTGGCCTCACGTGCTCGGCCCAGGGCTCTGAGACGGCAACTCAACCCCCCCCCCCCCCCGCAGAGGCGCGCGCGCGCACGTGCCTTCCTTTCCGCTCGATCTGGTTTTCTTTCTCACATCTGGTTTTCAGAAGCTGCGATTTTGCAGGTCTGTCCTGGCATATCCGAATTTCTCAGACCTCCAGCTAAAGGGAATAGATGAGAACGTCTTTAAGGGCTATTGAAGGGAACCCTGCAGGAACAGAAAGGAACAAAGGCGCTGGAGGTCTGGATAAAATGCAAAGACTGCTCGGGCTTGTCTTCAGTTTGATTCTCTTTGGACCCTGTCGCATCCACTCTGCAGTCACCACACTGACTGGTGCAATGTCCACCACACGCAATAACAACAGCTGAAAGATATGGGGGTTTCTCAAAATAGAGGACCCCCGCCCTGTTCGCCATTGTAAAGGGAAACCAAACAAAACAGCCACCATCCTTAGGGGTCCCCTATTTTGAGAAGCTCCCATATAGTGTTGACAGTTCGAGTCATGTTCTGTACCACGGGGTCCACCAATGGTGGTCCACCAATTGCAGCCCTTGGTATAGTTGCCATGCTGAGCACAGCAAAATATCTAGCGAGTGTCTCCGAATTGAGGACCCCGATTCACTGGTATTCTGTTGGCTTCCTTCAAAGCAAGTTGCCTGTTTTGACACTAAAGGCTTGTATTCCTGAGTACCCTTGCAGCATAACAATTGAATCAGTTCACAACATGATCATGCCCCTTGCGGTCCTTCAGATTCGAGAGGTTAGAATAAGTTGGTACCAACTTTTTTCTGTAGTCTATTTTATTAGGGGAACCCTCGGCAAAAAAAGAAAGGCACCTAGCTGGGGGACCGATCGTGTCACTTCCGATCCAATAAATGGGTCAACAAAAGTACCCGAACGATTTGCCACTAAAATCTGCCGAACCCGGCAAGTGAACTTGGTTGCTTTCTGCGAAGCCCTAAAAGTGAGTCTAAGTCTAACTTTTAGTGGTTTAAAAAACGGAAACCCATTAGTTGGCAAAAAGTTAAAGTCCTAACTAACTAACATCCAAGCAAAATGCAGCAAAGTGAATATTGGACCAGCCCAAACACACAGTTTGACCAGCAACAGCTCCTTGTGGCTCGCTCGCATGGAAAGAAGCCAACGTGAAAGGGACTGGTCCCCTATCATGCTAAGTCTGGCGGCGCACAAATTCGCCATGATCCAAAAGAATCGGCGGAAGAATCGGCCGCTACGGCGAAGAGCTCATGAGGTAATTCGCTGCCTCGGTGCGAAAGAGCTCGAGGAGCTCCACTTGCGTAGCTGGGGCCCCTTGGGACTGCTTTCCTCCACCCAAACAAAAAAAAAATTGGGGAGGTGGCTGTGGCTCAAACCACCGGAATTCCAAAAATGGGTTGCCCGATCGGTAAGTGGAGACACGGGTACCAAGACCTGCGGTTTGCCCCCCTCCCGTGAGAAATTTTGAGCCACACATTCAGATGGATTCGTGCGCCGCGCTCATCGCGGTGCCCTGTGCCCGAGTGAAGCACAAGCAGCCCAACAACTGCTGGATAGGAGAGGTTGGAGATATATAGCAGTGGCTCAGGGCCTATCCATATTTCCTCCCTCAAGACCTCACCACCGAAAAATACGAGTTCACCTTTCAATGGGCCCAAAAGGTGAAAAGTTAAAACACCACCAAGAAGGGACATATAGTTGGACCCGTGTTTTCCTGTGAGTGAGAGGAGTGGATGGAGAGGGAACGCTTGGGACGGGTCGCTTTCCTTTGTCAGCTCTTGGCACCGTCTCACTCACTTCCTTCCTTCGCTCTCCATCTCGACGAGGCGTGAGAGGAATAGACGAGAGAGATGAGAAAGAACGAGGACAAGGAAACCCACTTCCTGAGTTGATGGGCCAAAAGTTACCGAGCTTTCTGTTTATATACCACTAAAATGGTCTTCTCGAAAAGTTTGAAGTCCAGCAACTCAGGGAGTGAGGAAAAGAAAGAGCTGGAAGGGAGCGGTCTCTCTGTCACTCACTCCGTTCTTTCGTGACCCTGAGACCTAGACACGCTACAGCGGGTAAACAAGAACTAGACAAAGGTGATGAACAAAGGTGGCCCAACATGAGAATGAGAGAGGGAACAGAGTGGACGAAGGAATCAAGCAACCTTTTCACCTCGTTCTTTCCCTTTGGCTCGTCCTTTATCCTCGCTGTCAAGAACTCCAGAAATCAAACCCCCAGTCTATAGGTAGCCCCTTACATCACCAACCACACTCCCACAAAGCTCCCACTGCCCAATGGCTGTGATGTGGGTCTCAGGAGAAAAGTTCAGGCGTCCGGCCTTGACCACAGAAATGAAGAAAGAGATCAAAGTAATGAAGAATCTCCGTGAAACAAATTTGCCAAAAACCAATGCCAAAGAAAAGAAACTTCACAGTCCAAAAACAAGGCCAGCACCATGAGCACTTTGTTTTTATCGAGTCCAATCCAAAACCCTGGTCTGTTTATCATGGAGTGACACTTGGTTGCCCCCGTTGAACCCTCTGCAACAAGTTTTCAACTTGTTGTGGGTTCAATACGGAAAACCCTTGATTTCCCAAAAAGTGAAAGTCTAAAGATCCAACCTAATAGCAATCAAGTACAGGCCTTTTGGTTTTTGGCCTCGACCTTTGTCTTTCAAGACGGCAAGTTGTTTTTTCCTTGTTTTTTTTCCCCGTTCCCAAAGGAGTGGAACCTGTCATTTGATGAAGGCAAACCGAATTTGTGAAGGATTTGTTTGGGCATGTTACCCCTCCCACCAAATAACATGGAACCTGACAACAGGTCCGTTTAAAAGGAACTTTGTCCAAACCAGGACCCCCTACCCCCTCCTGTAAGGTTCCATGTTAGTTTGGAGGGTAGTTGGGGACCCTTTGAACATCAAAATTCGGTGGAATTCATGTCCAACAATCACTTTTGAGGTGGGTACCCGTGTCCAAGAACCAAACGTTTTTCTTTTCAATGACGAACAACCTCAGGCACATGATGGTGGTTATACTAACCGCCACTGTTTTAATTGTCCATTTGCTGAAGCCCTCTGAAAAAAACATGTCCAGCTGTGATTGACTCCTTTTCAAACCAAAAAATATTCTTAGGCAAATGGAAGTACTGGCTAGCAAGGACAAGGGCTGACATCAGACTTGGCTTCCCGATGACCGAACCGACTTCTGGCCTTCCGAGCCTTTTCTGGAAGACCCCCAGCCGCCCTAAAGCCCCCCCCAAAAACAAACAGGTGGAGAAGTTTGCTTCATGAAAAAACATATGAGCAGTGGGTGCTTGTTTAAAACAAAAACACAGGTGGATAATGTTGTTCCATAAAACAATAAAACATATGAGCAGTGGTGTTTGCCCCTAATTTGTTTGCAATCGTAATTCTAGGGCAATGTTTTCTTTGTTGCACATGCCCGCCCCGCCTCCACCCTCCCCTGCCCCCAAGCTAGTCCCTATTAGGATTGGGGCCCTTGACAACCATAGGATACGAGGTCACTGCCCCTATTCCTCACACATCAGCAGCCCCCTTGGCGGTTTGGAGCCGAATTCGGTGGTTTAGTGATGTCGCGGGGGAATTTCTTACCAAAAATCCCTACACGTATGATAAGTTCAACCTAAATTCCTAAAACAGACGACAACGTTTTTTTGTTTGTTTTTTCCAAAAAGCCCAATCTTCTACCAGCATCAAAGTCACCCGAGTGGAAGGTTCAAGGGAAACCACCGAGCAGTGTCTGACTTTGATCACCAGAAATGGTTCGATTTTCATCACGTAGGAGACCCAGCCGGTGGCTTCCAGGCCCGCCAAGCTGAGTTCATCCCCTTCCGCTCTGCGGATCCAAAAACAAGCACTTGTTGAGTGGCCCAAACAGGTGGCTTTCAGACCCACTTTGTGGTTCGGCGGACACTTGCCCAATCCAACCAAGCTGAACTAGGTCCTCCAGATTTGATAGGTTATTATAAGGGTACCGACTTTTTTCTGGACGTCTATTTTCCTTCCATGTCCATTCTTTCCAGGAATCCGGATCTTTCTTGAAAACCTTCAGGAACCCATGGAAAATTGCGATCGGTTTTTGAAAGAACGATGGTTGAAAAGAAAGGACATCAAATCGTAGAACAACGGATATTTATGGGTGTGGCTCAAAAGTAAAAAGGGGGGAGGAAACCGCAGGTTTTGGTCATGTTTCCACTTACCAGGGCAACCCATTTTGGAATTTCGGTTGTTTGAGCCACAGCTATATTTTTTTCCAGGAATCCGGATGTTTCTTGAAAAAAATCAGAAACCCAGAGAATAGAGATCGGGTTTTGAAAGAACGATGGTTGAAAAGAATGGGACATCAACCCGTAGAACAACCGATATTTGCTTTTTCGCCCGGAACAAAATGCGAACATATGTCCAGTGAAATCGTTTCCCGTTAAAACCAACAACAGACAATTGAACAACACCACCCGAAGAGGTCCGAAACGGAGCTCAGGAAGTGAGAGAAAAACACAATGGCCATCCCCCAACTTTTCCCTGAAATGGCCCAA